AAAAAAGCAAAGCGAAATCTACTGCCCTTGAGTCAATTCCCCTTCATTGTTACTCTATAAGACACGATAGAAGGTAGCCACAGGGGCTCTGAGCATGTAAATATGTATGTGAGCGAATAGCAGGCAGGAAATAAGGATTACATAAGTCACTACATGTGTATACACTATTGGGACTCCACTAGCTCCCATTGTTGGCAGGTATTCACATCCCATATTGCCAGAGACACAGCTGTCACCTTCCCTACAGAGCCATCCTCCATTCTCAATAGGGTTCTCTGCAGGGGAAGCTACGGCTAATGACCAACTGATTTGGGATTACAGAGGACAAGCCCTCCTGGCCTCCAGGGGGAACCACCTTGGAGTATAATTCATGCTCTTGACTCCACATGGATGGCTACTTTAGGTTCAGACAACATTCTCCCTTAGCTTTACCTCCTCTTGCCTGTTTCTCTTCCTTAGACCCCCTTGTTCCAATGGGTATTCACCAATAGACCATTTGCACTGAAATCCGCCCCTCAGGAGGCTCAGAATTTTTGTGGGAAACCGGTCCTCACCTGGACTGACAACAGGCAAAAGGTTGAAGTAGTCCTATAGTAAGCGCCATATTAGGGTTAAGCATCATCGTTTTAAAGGAGTGTTGGTGGACTGTTAACTGTAAAGTCACCAGTTTGAACCTACCAGTCACTCTGCTAGTGAAAGATGAGGATTTCTGCTTCCAGAACTATTAACAGCCCCAAGAATCTTTTTTTAAGATCATTTTACTGGGGGCTCATACAACTCTCATCACAATCCATACACACATCCATTGTCTCAAGCACATTTGTACATGTGTTGCCATCATCATTTTCAAAACATTTTCGTTCTACTTGACCCCTTGGTATCAGCTCCTCACTTTTCCCCTCCCTCCTCCTCCCTCCCTCCCTCGTGACCCTTGATCATTTAGAAATTTTTTTTTTCATGTCTTGCACTGTCCAAGGTCTCTCTTTACTCCCGTATCTGTCGTCCATCACCCTGGGGTGGGGGTGGGGTTATAGGTAGGTCATTGTGATCGGTTCCCCTTTCATCCCCCCACCTCCCTCTTCCCCTCCTGGTTTCAGCCTCAAGAATCTTACGTAGGGTCACTATGAGTTGGAATACATGAGACAGCAGGGGGTCTGGTTGACTGGCTGATCAACATGACATGGAATCATGGTGACTCGGCAGTTCAAGAGCACAAGTTGTTCTGGCAGAGGAAAGTCATAGCTGACTGTTTCTTTAAAAGATTGACAGCCTCGGAAACCCTAGGGGGCAAGTTCTACCCTGTCTGACATGGCCACCCTGAGGTGAGTAGACTCAAGGGTGATGGGCTTGGATTTGGGGGGTTTAAATGATCATTTCTGAAATCATGGTACACAAGTTTAGCATCCATTTGCAACTCCAATTCAGAACTGGCCAAAACCTCAGCAAAGAGTGTCCAGGACGTGCAGGTGTTTCTGCTATGAACAAAGGGTGCTCAGTTACCTCGATAGGGCCCACTTGAAAGTCGATGGTGATCTGCTGTTCCCTGATGTCCTTCAGTGCAGCCATGGCGATCCGAATGTCATCGAGGTCTTTGATTTGGCGATTCAGTTTCTTATTGAATTCCTCCACCAGGGTAAAAATGTTTTCCATCTCACTCCTGTATTTCCTGTTACAGTGGCGGCCAATGACAACCATCCAGGCCTTTGTCTCCGCAGTCAGGGCTAGCTTCAAGTCCGCTGTAAAACCCAACGTCCACACTTCAGCCTGAAAAACTTGAACCCATAGAAGAAGACCCCAAGCAAAGTTCACCGATCATTAAGACTTTGCATAAACTCAAACCAAACTCAGTGCCATCGAGTCAATGCTGACTCGCAGCAACCCTATAGGACAGGGCAGAACGGCCCCTGTGGGTTTCTGAGACTATTAACTTTATGGGAGTAGGAGCCTCATCCTTGTCCTTTGGATCAGTTGGTGGATTTGAACTGCTGACCTTGTGGTTAGCAACCCAACATATAACCCAATGCCCCAACCAGGGCTCCTATTAAGACGTTGCATAGCACATGGAACACCAAACTGTAAAGAGATTACTTTTTCCTATTTATGGCTTTATTCCCTTGAGAAAACTCAATTTTTCAGTATGTCAGAACTTTTCTCAAGGGCTAAAAAGAAAAACAAAACACACATGTCTAAACTCTCAGTAATATGCTTCCATCATTTACCTTTGGTGTTAAAAGTATTAGATTTCAATTAAAAAATACAGCATTCCCCTGCTCGGATATAGCATTTAATTTCCAAATTTGGTGCAAAGTGTTCAAAATCACACAGAACAACTCATTAAGAGAAACAAAAGCAAATATAAATTGGCCTTTTAAACACAAGACCCATTTGAAAAAGAAAGTTCCATCAGAAAGATAATGAAAACTCTCAGAAATACTGGTCTAGATAAGGAGACATCACAATGCCTCCACTTCCCGGGCTCAGAGCTGGAGAACCCACCTGTGTAGAGTGCGATGGAGCCGACGCAGATGTACTCGGGCTCCGCGTTGATGTCCTGTTCCAGATGTTGGAAGTAGAGGATCTGAGACTCAAATTCTGAAAGTAAGGGGTTTTTCTTAATGAACGTCATAACGGTCTCTTCTTTCTCCTTCTGCCAGATGTGATTGTAGCACTTGAAGCAATCCAGGGAGGTGATAACTTCCTGGAAACCAAAGGCACACAGAGGTCAGTGGAGAAAGACAGCTCTGAACAGGCTGGTGGTCAATGGTTTCCCACAGGCAGGCAGTGCTACCTCTCCCCGTGTACACAGGAGACCCAGGCTCCATCCAACCCCATCAACGCACTTCATGCGCAGCCAACAATCATCAGTGGAGACTTATTGTTGCAGTGTGGCTAAACAAATGCCAGCAGAGCTTCCAGCCTGATGCACACTGGGAAGAGAGGCTTGGGGATCTATTGTCAGAAATCAGCCAGTGGTCTCACAATGCGGTTGTCGTGAGCATCAGCTAACCACCGCAATGGTTTCCCACACAAAACCAACTCACTGCCAGTTGTCGTGAGCATCAGCTAACCACCGCAATGGTTTCCCACACAAAACCAACTCACTGCCGCTGAGTTGATGCTGACTCCTAGCAACCCTATAGGGCAAGGTAGAACTGCCCTTGTTGGTTTCCGAGACTGTAACTCTCTATAAGAGAGTAGAAAGCCTCCTAAGAAGCAGCTGGTGGTTTTGAACTGGATTGCAGCCCAACGTGTAACTACTGTGCCACCAGGCTCCTATATGGTTCCCCAGAGATGCACTTAAAATCTTTTGGAGAAGCCCAGTATTAGTGAGTAGTGTTGTTGCTATTAGGTGTCATTGAGCCTGTCTCAACTCATAGCAATCCTGTGTACAATAGAATGAAATACGGCCCGGGCCTGAACCATCCATTGTTGTTATGCCGGAACTCATTGTTGCAGTCCCTGTGTCAGTCCATCTTGTTCAGAGTCCTCCTCTTTTTTTGACCCAGCATAATTACTGAACTGAGTACTTCATCCCACATGCAGAAGACAAGGGACCACTG